GGAGAGCAGTAAACATGAAACATTATCTCAGAGTAGTACTGGAGAACCCAGAGGAGGATGAATGGGGCAGAGACATTAAGGAGATAGAGGCTATTAAATCAAACACTCCTAATCTATCATTATCTCAGCTACGGGAGAAAGTGATTAATGTGGCAATTGAAGCAGTCCTAGATGCTAAACAAGATCTTCATTTACTCCAGTCTCAACCACAACCAAGAGAGTGATTCAAATTACTGGAACATGTGAATAACTCCAGACGCTGTAAAATCATAAACATACAGTTATGAAACATACTTACAGTTAGGAAATTGGATGAGAAACAAGTATGGAAATCAGTGGAAATCATGCCCAGTTTGTAGTACAAACTGGCCCATATGTTAAGCTGAATGAAGCCCATGTACTGCTTGGGTGCCCGGCAACAGCAAGTGAGAGGAAAGATTGTGAGATAGCTGAATATGTAGAGCAATACCAGGGAATGGCCACCAATTACATCCTTAGATGGTAACAAGGACAGGATGGATGTAGTAAAATGGATGGACCATACTCAACATCTGTGAGGTGAGAATTTAATTAATTTCAAATCAAGAAAATAATTAATATTAGAAATTAAAATATCAACCTCTACAGATGTGAGATATAAAGTATTAGTTTTAAATTGATAATTGCTAAATAAAAGGTGAATAAACGTCCCATAATAGTATGAAATTACCATTTGCCAGACCAAACTCAAGCAATTGAGAAAGACCATTTTTATTTTACATAGAAACAAACCGTCCCTTGTACAGGGCCTATGGCCCATCTAGGGGTGGGTGGGTTGGTGGATGTCAACCTAGGGGCTCTGCTAACTCAGGTTCCCGATAATCCCAGCACCCGGTACGCTTACATCCAGGGTTCAATAATAGAACATGCCCTTGGCGGTTTACAAACAAACGACCCCAGGCGTGATTGTACACGTATCATGAGGGGAAGTACTGATGGGTGTGGCTTCATACGGGGACTAAAAATCCCCCAGAAGTTCTGTTTAATAATAATAATAAAAAAGTAAATGTACAAAATTGAGAGGAGGGTGGGGGTCCAAAAATCGTTCTCTAGGACAGACCCAATTTTTACAACATATAAGGTTGAAAAGGACGATGTCAAGATTTTCTTTGTCAAATATCAATTTGTTCTCCGAATTAGGCAGGTTAAGCAAAATGCTCGGAGTTCCTATTGTTGAGTGATTGATGATAACTGTTTGAAAATTTGCACACTAATCATAATAAAAGTTTAAAATATTAAAAATGAGAAAAAAGATAAATACATTTTTCCAGTGTAAAAGTTTTAAAATACCGTTTTTAAAACATCATTACAATTGCTGGTCCGGGTGCATTCGACACCGTTTTCTTGTAATCATTACAATTGTTGGTCAGGGTGCATGTCCACACCATTTCCTTGAAATCATTACAGTTGCAGGGGGTGCATGTCGATACCACTTTCTTGTAGTAGTTACAGTTGCTGGGGGTGCATGTCGACACCATTTTCTTGTAATCATTACAATTGCTGGTTTGGGTGCATTTCGACACCATATTCTTGAAATCATTAAATTGCTGGAGGTGCATGTCGACACCACTTTCTTGAAATCATTACAATTGCTGGTTGGGGTGCATGTCGGCACCATTTTCTTGTAATCATTACAATTACTGGGGGGTGCATGTCCACACCATTTTCTTGTAATCATTACAATTGCTGGTTGGGGTGCATGTCGGCACCATTTTCTTGTAATCATTACAATTACTGGGGGGTGCATGTCCACACCATTTTCTTGTAATCATTACAATTGCTGGTTGGGGTGCATGTCCACACCATTTTCTTGAAATCATTACAATTACTGGGGGGTGCATGTTCCCCTCCTTTTATTGAGATTTTTTTAAAATGAAAATACTCTGGCTCGTTTGAAATAAATTTGGGAGATGACTTTGTTTTTCAAGTTATAACATAAAATATTAAATTAATTTAAGAGAATTTTAAGATTTATCTAAAATCCTAGAATTTAACAAAAAAATGAATAAGTTTGGGAAAGAATGAATTGAAATCTTATCCAAGAGAGTTTCATAATAAAGTGTTTAGAATTAAGAATGAAAATAAAATAAAATAAAAAAAAGTCAATCCACCAACTGTAAAATTTGTAAACCAAGCAATTCCCGTGAATCTACCGAGTTTGACAATCAAATTTTAAGGTGTTCATGAGTTATGGTCGGACAAGCAAACATAGATTACCACTTCATATTTATTAGAAATAACATATGTATAATGTTTATTATTAACATAATATTATCTGAAAAACATAGATAGATAACATAGAGACGTCACTAAAGATTATCTATGCAATATCCTACAGAATAAATTTCTTCTAAGAATCCATCCCACATGAAGGATTCATATAGACTATAGCTATAGCTATAGCGTTGCCAATGAAAAAAATTTGAAAAAAAATATTTTTAAAACAAAACTTTTAGCCTTTAACACCTCCCGGCCACCCATGAGTGTCCACAAAAAAATTTCAGCCCAATCGGTCCAGCCGTTTGGCCGGCTATAGGCAACATATATTATACGAATGTCTTGCGTTATATGAATTATTACACACCAGTCGCATTATTTGTAATGGGAATAACTGGTACACCATGCTATCTCGTTAATTTTTTAATTTTTCATGTTCAAAACGAGAAAAATATTTTAAAACTTATCATATCTTTAAAAAAGGTTGTATTTTAAAACTAAAACTAAATAAAATGCACTTTACTGCGAATGACTAATTAGTATTGAGTAATTATGCTAATTGTATTTTTTGGTTTTGTGACCAACAACATTTTAAAATTATTATTGTGGGGTAACTCCAAATTAACTTTTACTGACATACTTTTACCGCTCTAACTCACTTATGCTTTTCTGTAGTCCTTTATATTTACGTTTTAGCACTGTAAAGCATTTGTTGTTAGCTTTGGGTTTAAAGAAGTAATTGGCAAAATTCTCATCGATTTTTGCTCGAGAGCGTGAGACCTAATTAACTCACAGTGTATTGTACAAGTTAACCTTCACCAATAACGTTTTAAAGGACCCATTAAAAAAAAGCATGTACGATTTGCTATGGTACCTTTAACAACTTTATCTGATAAACATTGTGAAACATATCATCGTATTTCTAGCTTTAATTATAGTGTTAAATTCTGATAATTTCCCCGACAACTTTTTGCCGAGAAATGCAAAAGTCACTTTTGAAGAGGAATAATCAGGACTTAAAAAAAGTAACTTAAGGATATGTTTTTCATACTATTAGCACTTTATCAAAAAAGGCTTTTGAGGGACTGGGTACCGTTGTGAATTAGAAAATCCAATCTTTAAATTTGGTATGAAGCTGTTTTCTAATTATTTTATTCATTTATTAAAGAGTTATAAACCTAATCATGCCATATCCTGACTTGGAGGCACAGTAAACATCTTGGCAGGAAATAATTAAATATTTTATTAAATATTAATTTTAATAAAAAATTATTGGTGGATTTTCAATCACCAATCCAAGTTTACGCCGATTTTGCACTGTGGAGTTCAAGATATTCTGAAATTTTATTTTAACTTCTTTCTCACACCTAGTGTGACGTTTTTTGAAGATACTCAAAAAGTATTTATCAAACTGATCAAATTTGTTGACTTTTCCAACTAACACATGGTCCTCAATCAATGCTCATGCAAAGCAGGGCTTCTATACCTACTGCCGGAATGCCTTAGTTTACCTTTACCAGACTAAATCTATATTTAGACATACTTCCGGTCATTGGATTCCGACATTTTATAGCTCTTTGAAAAGCCTTGAACGAAAGAAAGTAGATGGCTAAATTTTTGCGGAGAAATTTTGCATAGATTTTTGCAGACTATTTTGGGTAAAAAAGACGTCAGCAGCTTTTTTCAGCACGTTACATCCTAGCTCTGTGTAGCATATATACTATATAGAGGTAATAGAATTGAGTCTTTGCCACAAACTCTGATTTCTTTCAGGAAAAGTTCTGCGAGTTCTTTAACAAATTCTAAACCATAACACCGTACCGACTTCGAGGCAGCTAAAGCAAGTTGTACAGTACAGAGACTAAGGTTGTGGAATAAGAAGTTGTACAGTACAGAGAGTAAGGTTGTGGAATAAGAAGTTGTTCAGTACAGAGACTAAGGTTGTGGAATAAGAAGTTGTACAGTACAGAGACAAAGGTTGTGGAATAGGATAGGTTACTCTCGATGCGCTCCATGTACGGAGAATGTTGTCTCCTAAGATGGAAAGATAAATACCCAATAAGACGTCACTCTCGCCTCTATAATCAGTGACGTCATAATGGGTAATTACAAAATTGTCCTTTTTTAGATACAACTCAACATAATAGAAAGTTTATTTGATATACACTAAAAAATTGATTTCTTCTTGCATTGAAAAATGATAAAAGTATTTTCATTTCTACTTTGGAGGGGAGGGGTGGGGGGAAAAATCCTGCAAAATCTGAAAAGAAAATAATTCTTTAAAAGTTTCTATGTTGGGGTTGGCTAAATTAATTAAAACTTGAAAATTAACTTTTTACCTGGCATCAAAAAGTCAGGGCAATAAGTAGAATTTGGTAGTTTTGCAATTTTGAGCCAAAATATCAAATTATATGAAAGTGATGTGATGTAGATGTATTAGTTATTACAAGGGGGGTGTACTCTGTGAATGGTTGGATGGATGGGGGGGGGGGAGAACAGGAAAACTATGACTTCTGGTGTGGGTCGATATTTTTATTTGAGGGGTCGTTCAAAAAGTGACTTGCGCATTTCGCCTGCAGAAACAATGTGAGGAAATTATCAGCATTAAACACTTTCCAAGCTATTTTCCATATTATTGATGAAAAAAGGTTTAAATGGTTCAGTTGGAGAACAGAAATGGAGGGTCATTTGAAATTACAATTACAGTGCCTTTAAAAATTTGAATTAATTAAGTTCAACCAAGATTAAAGAAGTACAATATTTATTTCGGATGGATTAGTTACAAACTCACATTGAGAATTACATTACAATAATTACAGTGTACAACTGTTTATCAGTACGTTACATGGTGTAATATATTCTGTGCATTGTTGTACAATATACATTGATCAAGAAACTTAAACATCTAAATTCTATAACTTTACATTCTTCAAGACAAGTATTATTTTATTTTTTAAGTGGCATGTTCGAACCCTAACGGTACCCTTGAAACCTTTATCTGATCAATAATGTGAGATATATCTTCGTGTCTTACATCGTTTCTGTAGCAGAAATGCACAAGTCACTGTACAGAGAACGAAAATAATAAATTTTCAAAGAGAATATTATGGATATCTCATACATTCCTCATCGTACAAAGCTTTTAAGGTCACAATTGTAAAACAGTCATACCGAACTTTAAATTGAGTTACTTGACATCAAAATCTAATCTTTGAAATTATCAAAATATCAAAATATTGTCAATATCAAACATGTTAAGGATTAAAACTTAAACCAAGGGGGGGGGGGCTCATGGAAATATAAATACCCCCCCCCCCCCCAACTATTGAAAAAGTTTATGTTGAAAAGATTGAATAATCCTGAGCCTGGGATAATCCTAAATAATATTAAACAACATACATTGTAGAAAAACATGGAGAAAATGAAACAATGTAAAATATAAAATTTTCAGTGAAAGGGGAGAATATTCTAGTGTTAACATAAATAATTCACTTTGATGTTTTAGAGAAGGACAGGATTTCAATATAAACATAATTTCAAGCAAATACCTCTCTTATTAGAATAGCATTGCTAATTCACAACGGTACCCTTTAAACCTTGGTCTAAATAGAATGTGAGTGAGAAATCTATAATCTATTCTTTGAAAATTTTGGTTTCTCTTAAAAGTACAGATGTATATTCTAGAAAGAATGAAGAAATGTTAAGAATTTAAAACCTTTTAAGATGATAGCAAAACAGCGACATTTTCCTCAGTATTTACAAATCTTTAAAAAGTTTTGCATGTCTCAAATGAATCGGAAATAATTTGACCACAACACTGCATACTCAGTTTAACTACCTTACATAGCCGACATAGCCGGTCTGTCTCTTTAATAAACTCAGAAAGAAGTTTAAAGTGGATCGATTACTTGAAAATACCTCTACAGTCCCTTTAGAGGACAGTAAAAATATTCTAAATATGAATTAATATACGAAAAAGAAACGAAAATAAATGTTTTTCAACTCTCAAGTCTTGAAATATTATTCCAAATCCGCTACAGGAGAATACAAATATTCATATATTCACAAAACATTCAAAATATACAGTGACATCAGTTTGTTCAATAACATTTATAAAAACAAATATTATTTATGAAAAAAGATGATTCAAGATTTAACAGTTTTTCCATAGTTTTTTGGGTTTCACTATAGCTATTTAATTACATAAATGGACGGATTGAGGAATTCTGTTTAAAAACTCCAGATTTTTAAAACTTACAATAAATAAATATTTGGTCAAAGAATAAGAATCTTAGGATTTAAACGTAAAGGAGTATATATATATGTTCTAAATTTATGAAAATCTAGTAAACTTGTTAAATTGGGTTTAAGCAATTTTAAACTTAAAATTCTAAGTTTCCAGAATCAAATATAAAATTGGGATAATTTTGATCCCTCAAAAATTAATAAAGGAATCGACTTTTCGCCCCAAACTCTGATTTTCTTATCCCTATATCTTTGGAACACAGTTTCGTAGACCTTAGATATGTCAAACTATGAATTCTGTTAGATCAAATCATCTAAGTTTGAAATATCAAAGGTTAACACAATCAGCTTGCAAAGATGTAGGGATTAGAAAATTTGAGTTTGTCGCAAAGTCTCAATTCCTTGAGTCCTTTTAGTAAAAGGACTGTTGGTGTTGGGGGGGGGGGGGGGGGGAGGTATATAAAATATATTTTTACCCTGTGTCATAAAAAAATAACAGATTTTTCTCATTTAAACACGTTTAACTAAACAAAAAATATCTAGTAACGATTAAAAAACAAGGTTCTGGTCAAAACTTGAACAATATTTTTCTACCACACAGAGAATAGAAACAGGTTCAATGTCAGGTTAAAGATCAGACATCTCCGAGATATCTTGGAGCGGCTTAGGTTCAGGTTCAACATTCTCCGGGTTCAATCCAGGATAACGTTTGAGGTTCATATTTATCCTTATCTAAGTTGAATTCAAAATAGCCACTAGCCAAGGGGGTTGATTTGATTAGAATGAGGTCAAACCTTCTCCGGGTTCTATCTTAGGTGCCATGATGTGTTTACTTCTTGTGGAAGGTTTCGATACAAATCGAGCAGCTCCAGGAGCCCTCAGGAGCATCCTGAATATAAAAAGTGGTTTTTACCTTTTATCCTTATGTTGACGAATCTAATATTTTGTACTTGAGAATATAAGATAGATAGATAGCAAAAATGCAATCATATTGATAAAAGAATGCTAAAATATTGACAACAACATTAAAACAAAAACATGAAGATATAAATCTGAAAAACAAAGTTGTACTTACAAAATCCAGAACATATTGAACAAAAAATGTTTAATGTAAACACAAAAGAATAAAAACAAAACAAAAAACAGTTTACCTTCATCGGAGGAACCAAGCAGTACATGTGATAACCACGGTCGCAGTCGTCGCAGAAGAGCAGTTTGTCGTCGTTCTCCGAGGTGCCGCAGAGAGTACAGGACTTACACTCGATACATTGCCAGGGATACTTACTTACACTTACCATCTCTCAAATTCT